GTGGGGGAGGGCACCTGTGCTGCCTCATTCCTCTTTCCCTGTCCACAGTGAGGCCCCCTTGCCCCATAGGAACCCCAATCTCTGGAGCTGAGCGTTGGTCCCCTGCACTGTGGGCCTGGCCCTGACCTGTGGACCCCAGTCCCTGCATAGGGCCTGTGTGGTGGGGTCCTATGGGGCATGGGGCTACATGGCCACATGGCTGTAGGGCTGAGACCCCGTCTCTGTAGGTTGGAGTCCTGCCCTGGGTTCCCTTCCTGCTGTGCTGTGCTACTCACTGGGCTGGATGTCCCCTCCAGTCCCGTCTCACTGAGTATACAGTGTTGGTGCTCCCCTTCTAGGGCCTCCACCTGCCTGGGGTGGCCAGGTGAGCCAAGAGGAGACCTACAAGGCCTCCAAGGTCAGGTGCTGCTGACAGGGCCACCTAGACAGCTCACCTGACACCCTGGACTTCTGCTGCAGATGTTCATGGGGCCTTGGGCCGTCACCTCCCTCCTCACTGCCCCCATTCATTTTCTCCCAGATCAGCTGGTCAGCTGCCCTCCCCATCCCTGTGGGTGGCGCTCACAGCCCAGGGAGCTTTGCTGTGCACAGACAATGCTCGTGGGACCCCGGCACTCACGGGATGACCTTGATGTCTTCCTTGCCGTGGAGAATGTAGTCGATGACTTTGTAGAAGAGGATTTCCTGAGAAGCAGACCACAGCGCTGGTTGCAAGGGGCTCCCGGGCCAGCACTCCAATGGGAGCCTCTGGGAGAGGAGGCTCTCTATTCCTGGCCCCCACCTCCTCCCCACTCTCCCGCCCCTCCTGGGCTGGGCTGGGACAGGCCCCTTGCTGCCCTAGGGCTGGAGTGTGGAAACTGAGGCATGACTTACACGGCCATCAGGTGTGTGTGGGCCTGAGTACGGCTGGGCTTCTCCCATCAGAACAGGCCACACATCGAAGAATTCCTGGTGGAAGAGAGGGAGAGAGGTAGTGAGTCAGCACCAAGTGGGGCCAAGCTGGCCGGAGCCCCAGGGTGGTGGTGGTGCTGAGGCCTCACCTTCTCCTTGGTCATATCCAGGAGGCCCACTGAGTACCGGTCGCAGTTCAGGTAGGCCCGCACCGTGTAGAGGGCCTTGTGGAACTGCCGCTCTATGTCGGTCAGCTCCTCAAACACCTTGTTGGCAGACCACAGCAGCACCTGTGGGAGTGGCACACCTGTGGCCCACGTTCACCCCTACACACCTGTCTGACCACAGAAGTGCCTGGGCATGAACTGTCCCACCTGAGAAGCACATGCACATGCATCTGCCCACAGGGCCCTGAGGGACACTGAGCCAGTGCCCCCCCCAACACATCTGTAAAGAGGGATGCACCCCAGCACCTGCCTTTCTACTGCCTGACCCGGGAGCCCTGGGAGCCTAGGGGAAGGCAAGGCCTCCAGCTTCAGCCACGTATCTGCCAGCACTGCCTGGTGCTCACCTTGTGCTGGGTCAGTGACAGAGTGAGTGTGATGAAAATTGGAATCAGTCGCATGAAGCCCCCCCAGCCAGCCTCCCCAGCCAGCCCGAGGAGCGGGCATTGAGGACGCCCTCGTGGACTCCGGGGTCTCAGCAAAGCGAGGTGAGAGTAATGGTTTACTGACACATCCCTGAGGCCCTGCCTTGGATATCCCCCGCCCCCTGGCCTCAGGCTGCTGTCCAGGGCTGGTGGCCAAGCTCACACTAACTCCGTGTGGTGCCCCTCCTCAGTTTCTCCATCTCCTCAGCTAAAGCCCCAAAGGCAGGTCACCTCCAGGGCCCCCCAACACCCACCCAGCACCCGACCTGTCTCCTGGCCTGTAATGAGCACTGCCTGGGGCCGAGCCCCTCCTCCTCCTCCAAGATCGTCCCTCGCATGCTCCCTTCCTGCCAGCCCCTCTCAGGGTCCTTTGTAGTCCCCGCTGTCACAGGCAGGAACTGGCTCTGGTGACCCCACTTGCCCTGGAGTCCTCTTGCCAGGAGGCAGCCCATGGTCCCGGCAGACAAAATGTTCCGGGGGGCGTGGCCTCACCTCCTCTGTGCCCGCCCCTCTCACTCCCCTGGGCCCTCAGCACTCACGGTGACCCAGCACAGGGCCTTTGCACAGGCTATCCTCTGCCTTCATAGCCCTCGTTCCGGGGCTTTCTCATGCTGGAGTCTCAGCCTCACATCATCTCTGGGAGGCCCTCCTTCAGCATCCATGGAGCCAGGTCCCCTGCAGCACCCCTTTCGTTCCCAACCTCCCGAAATAGTCTCTTCACTCAACCACAAGCTGTGCGAAGTCAGGAGGCCAGAGCAGCCTCACCTGGAGTGCTCAGAGGGTGTTTGTTGACAGCATGGAGGGCTGTGAGAGTCACAGACTCTCTGAACTGTGGGTCCAGTGGCCAGCTGCCACCTGGAAGCCTGCACACATGTCACCGCATGTGTCAGCTGGTGGATGAGCACCCCAGTGCCCCTGCTAAACAAAAGTGGCCAGCTCAGGACTCAGTGCACATCCCCCACACACTTGGGTAAAGACGCCCACTTGGCTCTTTCCCCAGGAGCACCTAGGTGGGACTCCCCCACTCCTACCCTGACCCTCCATCTCTGTTACCCCCTGTCACTCCCATGCCCCAATTAGACCAGAGACCTGTCCTCCGTGCTGGACCCTCATCTGAAGCAGATTCTATACCAGCCTGGAGGAAATGAGGCTCACAGTGTCGGTGTCCCCCCTCCCCCCCTCCAATATTCCTGCTTGTTTCTAACTCTGGGAGCTGAGCCCAGGATCTTTGGACACACCAGGTGGATTTTAATCAGGGTGCCTCCATGTAGCTCCAAGGCCAGCAGAGCAAACAGCCCAAAGGCCCTCTGCCCCCAGTCAAGACCCCGCCCCCCCGAATGTGCCGACCCCCGTGTGCCCTGGAACTTCATCCCAGGGGCCTCATGTGGGGCCTGTGCCACTGCATCATCACCCTGCCACTCACATGGCCCCACCTGAACTGCCTCCCTCCTTCGTGGGTGGACCCTAGGCTGTTTCTGCCTTGACGGCTATGAAGCATGTCTGGATGGGGCCTCACTTTGCTGGAGAAGCTAGAGACTCAGGTTCTTATGTGGCATCTCGACTTCATCGGAAACTTGTTCAAACAAGGGCCTGTGTCCACTGACACATGCTTGTCTTCGGGGTGCAGCTCTCACCTCTCCTGTGAGTCTCCAGAACTTCAGCCCTCCCCAGAGAGCGGTGACTCCTCTGGACCCCTCTGGACCCTGAGCCTGCTCTCATTAGCACCCGGTGATGCCACATGTCGTGTGACCAGGACACCAGGAGTGTGGGCCAGTGGGGCCGCAGCATTGCCTCCCTGGCTTCATTCAGTGTATCCTGGTTCAGGTCCCAGACAAAAGCTGGAGTGATGTTGAGGGGCTGCCCGGGGACCTTGGAAACCAGGGAACAGACAACACAGAGGGCTGCATACCCCCTGAAGGCCTAACCTCATGCTCGGACCCCCGGAGGCGGTGTCGGGACCCCCAGCTTGGTGGAGCCAGATGGAAAGGCGACCTCAGAGAGTCCTGCGAGCCCAGTGATGGGTTCAGTGCTCATCTTGTGGCAGCAGGTGTTAAGTGGTCAGGAAGCCTGAGAACCAGTTGTTAAATGCCGCCAATATTAACATTAAGTGACATACATTTAAAAATTAAGAACATTACATTAAAACTATATTCGTATACCTATTCATATACCTATTCCTATTCCTTCCCAATTACTCATCCTCTTATAATAGGCCTTGAATGCAATGACTTAACAAGAGCAGTTTAAGGAAGCTAAATAACCCAGAACCGGACCGACTTTATGGAGCCACTGTGCCTGAGAAGCCGGCAGTGAGGAGGGGCCCAAAGGGAGGTGGGCAGCCCACTGAGCTGGGTGGTAGCAGACTGTCCAGAAGAGAGTTTCAGTTCAAATTTAAATTTACCTAAAAATAATAATTTTAATGGAAATTTAAATACCACCTTAGAAAGGTACAGCCTTTTGGACACAGGATACAACCTTTTTTAGAGTAAGTACAGAAAGTGGTGTAGTCGGCCTAAAAGCAGCCACTGATCAAGAAAGCGGTGAAGCCCGGCCGGCGTGGCTCAGCGGTTGAGCGTCGACCTAGGATCCAGGGATTGAGGTTCGATTCCCACTCAGGGCACATGCCCGAGTTGTGGGCTCGATCCCCAGCAGGGGGCTTGTAGGAGGCAGCCGATCAATGACTCTCATCATTGATGTTTCTATCTCTCTCTCCCTTCCTCTCTGAAATCAATAAAGATATATTTTAAAAAATTAAAAAAAAAATTGATGCCCAGGCTGCATTCCAGGCCAATTAAATCAGAATTTCTGAAGATTAGTCCTGGGCAAAACAAGACATATTTAAAAAAAAAAAAGAAAGAAAGCTGTGAAGTCCTGGCTGGTGTGGCTCAGTGGTTGGAGCATTGGCTCAAGGACTGAAGGGTCTTGGGTTTGATTCCTGGTCAAGGGCACATACCTGAGTTGCAGGCTCGATCCCCAGCCCCGGTTGGAGTGGGTTCGGGAGGCAACCCATTGATGTGTCTCTCTCACATCGATGTTTCTCTTTCCCCCTCCCTCCCTTCCACCCTCTAAAAATCAATGGGAAAAATATCCGTGAGTGAGAATTAACAAAAAAAAAGGCTTGAAGCTCAACAATGTAATTATCTTAATTCCAATAATAGATCTCTCTCCTAGTTTAACGCTGGATTGTCCTATCATGAGACAGGTGCAGCCCTGTTATTGTGAGAAACAAGAATAATTTTTTCGTGCATAAGGTTAGCTCAGAACAAATAACCCTGATACTTTAAGAACAAAATAAGTAGGACCCGACAATCCACAATTATTATGCACGCTGTTCCCTGCCCCAGGGAGCACTCCAGGACCGATAAGGAGGTGGAAGAAGCTCTGGAAACACAAGCCTGCCTGCTCACCACAAGTGCCACCTCCAACATTCCCAATATGATGTTGTTTTTCAAATTGATTTCAGCGAGAGGGAGGGAGAGAGAGAGAGAGAAACATCAATGATGAGAGAGTCATGGATCGGCTGCCTCCTGCACGTCCCTCACCGGGATCGAGCCAGCAACCTGGGCATGTGCCCTGATCAGGAATCAAGTATTGATCTCCTGGATCCTAGGTCGATGCTCAACCACTGAGCCACGCCAGTTGGGCCAGTGTTCCCAATATTAGAGGCTGTGCAGTGGCCATGGTATCCTGACCTGAAACGCAGTATGAGCCCCTGCTCTCTAAATAAGGACTCGAGTGAATGGCCACATGAGGGATTTTTTTTTGCTTTTGTTATTGTTGTTAATTCACACCCGAGGATATTTTTTCCATTGCTATTTAGAGAGAGTGGAAGGGAGAGAGAGAGAGAGAGAGAGAGAGAGAGAGAGAGAAACATCGACTGGCTGCTTCCTTCATGCAGGGGATCGAACCTGCAACCCAGGTACATGCCCTTGGCCAGGATCGAACCCGGGACCCTTCAGTCCATGGGCCAATGCTCTAACCACTGAGAAAAACCAGCCAGGGGTCCTATACCACTTTTTGAGGCCAGCATGACTCTAATACCAAAACCAGATAAAGACATTACAAGAAGTAAAAACTACAGACCAAAATCTCTTCTACATACAGATGCAAAAATTCTTAACAAACTAGTAGGAGATTTAATAACATATAAAAATGTTTACACTCCAGGAATGATTACTATTAACATGCCTCCTCTTCCCAGTTAGATGTACAGCTTTAATGTAGTTTCAATGAAAATACCAGCAAACCATTTTGTGGATGTGGAAAGACTGATTTGAAAGCATACAGGAAAAGCCGAAAGCACAGACTAGCAAGCACAATATCCAGGAAAAAAATAGTGGGAGGACTGATATTCCCAACTTCAACACTAGTGATCAAGATAGGATGGTACTGTGCTGGCCAGCGTGGCTCAGTGGTTAGAGCGTCAGACCTCCCCCCCCCCCCAAGGGNNTTTGATCTCCTGGATCAGAGGTCGATGCTCAATGGTTGAGCCATGCCGGCCGGGCTGAATCATTCTTTATGATACTGTAATCGTGACTAGATGTCATGATGCACTTGTCGAGACCTACAGAAACGCACAGCATGAAGAACTGACCCTAATGCATGCAAATTTAAAAAACCATTTAGTAGGTTGGTGGATTCCAACCAAGAATACGGCCTGTGGCACCAGAACCTGACTATGCTGAAACGCAGGGCCCACTCTCTGAAGGGGCTGGAGCAGGAGGTGCTGAGCACGGCCACCAGAATGCGTGGGCTTGGTAACACCCAGGGCGCAAGCAGCTGCCTGTGAACACTGTCCTCCAGTTCCCTGGGGCACACTGGCTAACACTGCGACCCCGAGGCACACACACTGAAATCGAACTGCTATGTGTGGCACGAGGCAGGAGCAGGCGTCTCGGTTGCAGTGGCATTTGCACAGAGCTAGGGAGGGAGACGACAGGCAGAACTCACAAGAGTGTGGACACAGAGGTTCTGTGCACAAACAGGGCGCTCGCACCTGTGCATGCCTCTGTGTGTGTGTGTGTGTGTGTGTGTGGGCGACCTGCTCGCATGTCTCCTCGCTGGGTGGGGCGACAGGGCCTGGAAGCCGCAACACCCTGGAGCAGNGTGTGTGTGTGTGTGTGTGTGGGCGACCTGCTTGCATGTCTCCTCGCTGGGTGGGGCGACAGGGCCTGGAAGCCGCAACACCCTGGAGCAGTGAGCACACCCCTCTCCAGAGAGAGGAACCAGGGCCCCTGGAGAAATGGCTGATTCCACGACTGGTATGAAATGCAGAAATGACCGTGGAGCGTCTGGTGGCCCCAGAAAGTAAGGACCTGCAAATAATAACTGACAACCAACCAAAGAACAGCAGCTCCCACAGCAGGGGTGGGGTCACAGCCATAGGACTTACATCAGAACAAGCCGAGCCACAAAACTGGTAACCTTGTGTTGGGTTGTAACCTAAGTCGTAGGACCCTGAGTCAGACTAATAGAAACAAATAATTGCACAAATAACAATAGGTAGACGAAGCTCCTGTGCAAACCCTGTTCCCACAGCGCAGACCAAAGTGGAATCCCTTCCGAGCTGCACATGCAGTCAGTGTCTCTGGCCCTGAGCCTGGCCTTATGCTCCCAGGCCCCTGCTCTCAACCTCCACCTGCCCACAGCCTTTCCTCCCCTTAGGACTTCCTCTCCCCCTGCCCCTCACCAAGTGTCCTGCCCCTGCCCCTTCTGCACAGGCCACACATGAGCACCAGGACTCTGGGCCTCGTCCCCTGGGCTGGGGCCCCAGCCCCACTAGCCCTGACCCTGGGAGGAGTCTCTTCTGGAGGGTGTCATCCCAGGTACCCAGCACCGGGATGTGGTTAGAAGACCCTCCAACCACCTGCCCAAGATGTTCCTCCTGAGGCCCATGGGTCTGGAGGAATCCCCCAAACTCAGCCCTTCTCTGCAGACACTGAGACAAGCCCAAGCAGCTTTCACCACTTTAGACAGGTTTGCAGTGGCTGAGCAGGCCGCAGACTGCATCCAGTCAGAGCAGAAGTCAGGACGGCATGGAGCAGCCAGTCACCCTCCCAGTCCTCTGAGGCTCAGCCATGATGTGGGGCTTTCTCAGCCCCAGACCCACAGTGACTCTGTCCCCCTGACCCTCACTGTTTATTCAGGGCTCCCATGGGCCAGGCACACGGAGCCAGGAGGACATGAACAGGACCCACCCATCACCACAACTCGAGGTCCCACCCTGCTCCCTCTGGTCCCCACGCCCCTCGCAGCAGGGCACGACCTGGACACCCCCTTGCTGGAGGGCCGGGATGCGGGGCCAGCTGGCTGGCGTGGGTACCTGACCACGACGTGTCTCGCAGTTATGCAGGTAGCTCAAGTGGTAGATCTTTAGGTTCAATGCTCCGAAGTTCAGGTACTTCAGGAAAACCTGGAAGTTGCAACAACAGGAGTTAAAGCCTGGTTTTCGGGTGTGTCCTGGCTGCCGTGGATGTGCACAGACAGACCGACAGACCTCGACAGCTGCACATGCTCCCTGCACAGGATAGAGAGGCCCTGACACTCACGTCTTCATCGCTGCTGGTGAAACAAGGGCCGTCCAGCTTGTTCAGGGCCATGACCACGGCCACTACATCCTTGCCGTTCATGATGGGTGTGGCCAGGATGTTCCTGGTCACGTAGCCGGTCAGCTTGTCAGCAAAGGAGCTGAAGTGGGAGCTCTGTGAGGTGACAGGAGAAGAGTCAGGGGCCATGGCTCTGTGGACTTGGGGTTAGATGGCCTCGTGGAGGCCCCCAGGCCAGTGCTGACACCCAGTGGCCTTGTCCCCCGGCATCGGGAGCCTGGAAAGCATGTGAGGACATGGCCACTGGCCTGTCCTTGGACAGCAGCCTACCTTGGAGACAGTGATTGCAGCTCTGGGTTTCAAACTCTGCATAGTCCTCACAGCATCTCCCTCTTTGTGCCCCACCTGAGCTGTGGGCAGAGCTGGGTCCCCCACACCTGTCCCCTGGGTAACCTCCCCAATCCCTTCTGGCCCTCAGCCGCCTGGGCCAGCCCCACATGCTCCTCCCCAAACATCAGTGTGAGCCGAATGAATGGCGTCCTCATGGGACAGCCAGCGGGTGGGGGTTGAGCATCCCTCGCACCCCCAGGATCTGTCCACAGCCCCTGTGGGTCTCCAAGGCCTGTGCTCCAGAGGGTGTCTGCCCCACGTGGCCATTTCCCCAGGTGACAACGTTGTGCGCCTCTGCCCCAGGGCGGGTCCAACCACTCAGAGTGGCTTATCAGCGTGGCTCCCTGGTTGGGGGAGGTGGAGGGGCCTCTGAGGTTCTCTCTCCACTGGGAAAGGGTCAGCGAGCCTGGACTTGGCCCCGGTCCAGGACCAGGGGTCCTCCCAGGTGACCTGGACTCTATCCTTCAGAGGAGATGTGACCCCAGCCTCATCCCCCTGCTCCCCTACTGCTGAAAAGCTTTCATACATGACCAATGTGGTGCAGTGGCCACAGCCGAGGGCACAGAGTCAGACACCCTGACTGGGGTCGGGACGGCACTGTTTGAGCTCTGGCCAGGACAGGATGTTCAAGCCTCTATCCTCACCATCCTTGTAAGTGCTCCTTACATTTTTTTGTTATTTACTGTTAGAGAAACTTTCTCGGGATTAAGCAAGGAGTGTAGCAGACACGGGGGTGATGGACCCCATGTGACTGCCAGAGGCTTGTCCTCTGCTAGGCTGTCTGGTCCTGGGGGCTGCCCTCACTGCCCAGGCCATTGGGGTCTGAGGAAGCCTGGGGGGAGGCAGGTCCTGTCCTCCTGACAGGGCCGTGTGGCTGGAGCCAACTCCTCCCCTCTGTCCTTCCTGATTCTTAGAGAGGCAGCTGCCACCTGCAGCCACGTGCCACCTGGGGTCTGAGGGAAGTCAGCATGCAAGCTCTGGGGTGGTGGCTTGTCCAGCTGTGGCACCAACGTCGGTGACACAGTGTTCAGCTCCGACCCACAGAGAGCTCATGGCCGCTTGGCCGGCGAGGGTCAGGGTCTGTGTCCTGAGCACGGGAAGGTCTCCACACTCTCACAGCCCCTCCGTCCGCCACCCTCTCTCTGGTTCCCTTCAAAGCAGCTGCCGCTCAGGCGGTCACATTCTTGGCTTTGCTGCCGACTCTCCTTACTGTCCTTACACCCATGGGATCCTGCCCAGATGTGCCAAATATCCACTTTGGCTCCCATGCATGGGGCCTTCGCCCTAGGGCTCGAGGCTGCAGCTCCTGGTGACCCCACCACACGCAGCACGAAGGTGGACAGAGCCCCAGGGAGACAGCCCTGCAGGGGGCGGCACATGGCCTGGGGCAGCCCAGAGGATTGAACCAGACCCTCAGGGCAACGACTGGGCACCCACAACCCAGGCTTGGGGGCAGGGAAGCTGGAAAACAAACCCCTTGGTCAGAGGAGGGAGGGACAGACACAGAGCCAGGAGGAGGAAGGCCCCCCACTGCTGGACTCCCCTGTTCCGAGGAAATTCATGCCCCCTATATTCCGATTCTGGGGTGACCTATTTCTTAAAGAGGAGGTGAGGAGGAGGCTAATCCTGGGGTTTATTCTCTTCAGGTCACAGGGTGCAGGTGGCCCAGAGCACATGAGTTTAAGAGGATTGCAGCCTGGCTGCTTCCTGTCCAGGCCAGGGGAGCCTGGGGGTCCACGCACATATCCATCTGTCTCTAGGAACCAGGGGGCAGTGGCTGCTTGGGAGCTTGGCCCCTCTGGACTCCTTCATGGGAGTGGGAGAGGCTGACCCAGGCCATGGCTCCTGCTTCTAGCTCCCAGGCCTGACCCCCTCAGAGGTGGGGAGAAGGCACTGGCTCCCCTCCACAGCTGCAGCCTCTCCCTGCTTCTCCCGGGAGCACCCCCTCTCCCCCTCCCGCCCCTCATCCACACATGGCCGTGGCTGGGGCCTGTGGGATCCCCGCAGCCCCTGCAAGGCGCGGCCCGGAACCCACCTCGCTCACATCCTTGACATTCACCATTTTCTTGGTCTGAGCCACGTGGCCCACGACCCCGATGTCCAGGGGGAAGACGATCTCTGAGTCGGGGGGCACCAGGCAGTCCTCCAGGACGCTGCCTGGCTGCACGCTGAAGAGGCGGGTGGCCAGCTCGGCCACGCCATTGCGCTGGCGGTGCATGAAGAGGCTGCAGCGGTCGGCGTGCAGGATGGGGCAGAGGCGGCGCAGGGCCTTGAAGAGCACCCGCTCCATGTTCACGTTTTCCTGTGTGTCCCGCACCAGCTCGAACAGCGCCCTACTCTCCTCCACCTGGCACAGCTCCTGGAAGCTGCTGCAGTCCACCGGGAGCCCGTCCTCACAGGCCCGGGCCACATGCTCGGGGCTCAGCCTCTTTCCAAAGTACTGGTCTGCAAAGCCGGGGTGCTGGTTCAGGTACTGCCTCACCTGCTCCTCGCTGAGGCTCATGGTGTCTACCTGCCCGTCCTGGAAAAGCTGCCAGTCCCCAGGTGTACTCGGATTCCCCACAAACACTGTCATCAGCAAAGCCTTTCTTAGGGATGATTAGAGCCTAGAGTCCTGGGAGGGTGCCAGCTGACTCACCCATGCCTGCCCCCCTCACCTTAGGTCCTGGACTTCTTGCTTACCTGGAAAAATGGGGCTTCAGGTGACAGCTCAGGGGCTCCTGCCTGCGGCAAGGGTCCTGAGCAGCTGGGGAGGGAGGTGACCCTTTCTACCTGGTTCCACAGGCAGCCCCAGATCTCCTTGGCACCCAGACCTGGGCTCAGGTGTACTGAGCAGGTGGGGCATCTGCTTTGGGGAGATGCAGCCCAGTCCCAGGCAAGGGGAGACCCTCCTCACAAGGGTGCTGGAGGTCAGCAGGCACAGCTTGGGCTCCATCCCCACAGAGGGAGGTGGGGACGAGGGAGGAAGGTGGCCCAGCGCCTGGTGTGGAGGTGGTCCTGGGCATTCAGTCTTGCAGCTAAGGAGTCTGCACAAGAGACTTGGTCACCTGGACACACAACAGTGCTTCTCTGTTAAGAGCTAGGGGCCTTAGTTCAGTTGTCTGGATGAAGCCCCACCACAGTCTCTCCTCTGCCTAATTCCTACTTACTGTGCAACTTTATTTGTCCACAACCTCCTTGCCATGTTTGTCGACAAGATCGTTTCTGGGCATCCGTGCCCCAGACAGGGACTGGCACGTCTGGGCAGCAGAGGCACCTCTTACTGAGGGCTCTGGGTGTCATCAGGTGTTAGCTTCTCTGTGAACCACAATGTGAAAAAAGGTTAAAGTACAACAGGACAACTCACCCCAGGTCTGTATGACTCTCCTGCTGCAGGAATGCCCTTCAGTTCGCAGAAAAGAGACTGTGCAGATGTGTGTGCATGCATAGGTGTGCATGTGTGTGCACGTGCGTACACAGGTGCATGCATGAGTGCGTGCATGTACACGTGTGTGTGTGCATGTGTGCCAGTGGGCCGCTGGAAGGCTGGGGGTAGGAACTCTGTCCAGAGTGTGAACCAGCCTGCACATCTCTCAGCAGAGACCCCCAGCACCTGGTATTTGGGACTCACCTTCTGAGGCAGCAGCCTTGGACCAATGCCACCCAACCCATCTGTGGAGGCTACTGCAGAACCGTTTAGGTGGAAGGATTCCAGCCCCTCTAGCCACAGACCTCAATGGAAGAAAACAGGCTGGGTTTGCTTTGTCTCCTCACAGAGCCTGTGTCTGCGCTGTTAGCATACTTTTCACCAGTATGCAGGGCTTGAGTGTGATTCTGACTTTTCCTGCACTCGGCTGGTGAAACTGTGTGTGTGCACATGTGTGAGTGTGCACAGTGTGCAAGCCGGCCAGGGCGCTTCATGTGCTTGGACAAGTTTTCTCAGCATAAGCTTGGTCCCAGGGACCTGTGATGGCCACAATGGGCCAACTGTCTGAGTGCAGGCATGGGTTCCTGTCTCTGTTGAGTCATGCAGTGGTTTCTTTCAGGGATCTGCTCCAAGGCCCCCCACTTCTCTTAAAAATAGCGGGCTCTGACTGGGGACAGGGGATGGTGGGGCCAGCCCTCATTTCTTGGATCTGGGGCCAGGGCTCCAGTTCCCCTGCTCTGTATTCAGCCCCCAGACAGCTTTAGAGTGTTTCCTGGGCATTGTCTCTGGACGCCCTGCTTCTGGGTGTGAGGGACCTGTGATGAGGTACCACCCGGCAGAGTGGCTGGGGAGTTGGATCTCTGGGGGCACTTCCCATATTCTCAGCTCACTCCCACCCTGAGGCCCACTCTGGGTGCTGCAGCCCACCCTCCGGACCCTACCCACCCTCCACCTCTGCTCTTTCCTCTACCCTCTCCAGTGGCTGAGGAAAACAGGGCGTTGGTATGAAGCTCACAGGGCTCACAGCCCTGGGAACCCACGGCTGGGCTCAGGCACACAATGTGCTCAAGGGCATATCACTTTTGTGGCTGACTATGCTCCATAGAAGGCGTGGCCTTGTGTGCTGGCTGGTGGCCTTGCCAACACCGCCTGCCCCCTGGCTGGTGCTGGGAGCCCAGACTTACCCAATCGTCAGCTGACGCAATCCAGGGAAAGAGGCAGAATCTCTCAGGCCTACAGAATCCTAATGGTCTAGCCTTACTCAACCCAAAAAGGACCAGTGGCTGTGACCGCCAGCCAGAGAGTGTTCAGCCTGCATGGGGTGGGCTAGCAGGGTGTGCTGGGGTGCTTGGGGCAGGGAAGTGGGAGCAAATGCCCCTCAGCACCCTGGGGGCTTGTCTCAGAAGACTGTGGTGAGTCAACTTCTGAATTTGTCTTTTCTTTCTTTTTTTTAAATTTTTTTAAATATATCTTTATTGATTTCAGAGAGAGGAAGGGAGAGGGAGAGAGAGTTGAAACATCAATGATGAGAGTAACTGATCGGCCGCCTCCTGCACGCTCCACCACCAAGGATCGAGCCCGCAACCTGGGCATGTGCCCTGACTGGGATTTTAACCATGACTTCCTGGTTCCTAGGTCGATGCTCAACCACTGAGCCATGCCAGCTGGGCTGCCTTTTGCCTTTTTTAACCTGGAATCTGTCAGTGTGATCTCGTTTGGAAATGTGACCTCTGTAGGCCTAACCAATGAGGCTTTCATGGCAGAAATAATCTCTTGCTAAATAATAAAAAGGGTCCTGCTGCCTGGCGGGAATGGCTCAGTTGGTTGAGCATCCCCCTGTGCACTGAAGGGTCGCCGGTTCGGTTCCCAGTCAGGGCACATACCTGGGCTGCCGGTTTGATTCCTGGCACATATAAGAGGTAGCCAATCGATGTTCCTCTCTCTCCCTTCGTCTCCCTAAGTATGTCCTCAGGTGAAGACTAAATAAAAATAAATTAAAACATCAAAAAAAAGCCCTGCCAGGCATGGCTCAGTGGTTGAGCATCGATCTAGGGTCCAGGAGGTCGCAGTTCGATTGCCAGTCGGGGCACATGTCCGGGTTGCAGGTTCGATCCCTAGCAAGGGGCATGCAGGAGGCAGCCGATCAATGACTCTCTCATTGTTGATGTTTCTCTCTTTCCCTCTCCCTTCCTCTCTCTGAAATCAATAAAAACACATCAAAGTAAGAATGCCAGCAATGCGTTTGTGCCTCAGGTGGCACAGTGGCAAGTGCTAACCCTGCCTCCCTCTTGTTAACAGAAGTTCAGCGCTGAGACACGCCTGCTTCTGCTACGCGCTGGTTGGCTCCATCCCAGTTGCTGCCTACATCATCCAAAGCTAATCTCATCTGGGAACACCCTCACCGTGCCACCCAGAATGACGTTCAGCCAAATAGCAGGGCACCCTGTGCCCTGGCCATGTGTATACAAAAATAATCATAGCGCCCTGGCCAGCCTGCTCAGTGGTTAGACCGTTGGCCTGTGGACCAAAGGGACACGGGTTCAATTCCGGTCAAGGGCACATACTTGGGCTTCAGGTTCATTCCCCAGCCCCAGGCCAGGAGCGTGCGGGAGATAACCAATTGGTGTGTCTCTCTCACATTGATGGTTTTTTCTCTCTTTCTCCCCCTCCCTCCCTTCCACTCTCTTTAAAAAAATCAATGGAAAAATATCCTCGGGTGAGGGTTATCAGCAACAACAAAGTAACCATCTCAGCCATTTTAAAGGTCATCTGTGAGACCCCATGAGACCAGCTCTGATCACCAGGCCCCTCCACATCAGAATCAGCCCGTGAAAAGGCAGGGCCTCCCATTCTGACACCCGACAAAGCCTGCCCAAGGGTGGGGGGCTCTGTGCCAGACACACCTGAGCCTGGAGACAGGGGCTGAGGCTGAGCTGGCCATGGTCTTAGACCTGTATTCTTGTCCCTCCTGCTGAGCTGTCCAAGTGGAGGTCCCCAGCTCCAGCCTGCCTTGGAGACCACCTTGAGACCGTCACCACCATCACACCGCATGGGGCAGCCTCGCAGATGCAGCTGGAGGCACCCAGGTGGTGGTCCTGGAGTGGGCTGTGGTGAGCGGGGGCTTGGCACCTTGGTGCTCACCACTGCAGTTAGGTCCTGCTCAGAGCAGCCAGGACATTAGAAGAAACCAGCTCTAACTGCCTTAAACAGTAAGGAAATGTGTCACCTCACACCCCACATTCAGAGGCTGGGTGACCAGTGGTAGATGGTGGACCTTATAGTTCTGGGGGCCCCTGCTGGGGGGCAGCAGCAGTCAGGGTTGCAAACCCTGTGCACTGACTGGCTTTGGCAGGGCCCCAGGCACAGCCCAGTGGAGCCCAGCTTGGAGCAGGGCAGGACCCCACGGGCACGGGCTCCATCCAGGGATAAGCCACCCACAGCCGGCTCCATGCAATAGGCTGCTTGCAGCTGAGCCCACATAACACAGGCTGTGTGGCCCCAAAGCTTGAAACATTTACCATCTTGCCCTCGACAGAACATGTTTGCCGTCCCCAGGCTGAGGTTCACCGGAGCCCACCCCTGAGCTACCTGGACAGGAATGGAGTCTGAAGGACACTGGGTCCTGTCAGCATCCAGTGGCATCTGCCGGCGCAGGCTCTGAGCGGTGATGCTGACACCGTGAGCACTGGAGTTCACTGCAGGTTTGGTTCCTCTCTTCACCCTATTGCTCAGTCAGGCAGGGATATGGGCATGTCCTGAGCCTGGTATCTCCGCCTGGGACTTACCACGGTATGTGGAAGTCAGAGACTAAATGCGTAGAAAACAGGGGAAAAGGGAGCAAATTCAGCATGATTACCAAGGACTGAGACGGACACTCTTCATGGATGGTCATGGACCCAAGGAACGTTTTGGCTCAAAGGGTCTATCTGCTCAGAGGGAACTGTAGCCGGAAGTAAAGTGGCCTCAGGATCTGGAGTTGGGATATAATACTACAGCCCAGCTGGGATCGTAAAGGCAGTGCTGACGCTCTAAGAGGATTAAGCTCCATCCCCTCTACCCCCACAGCTGACCTCGGCAACTGACCTGTGACTTTGGCT